TGCTCCAGGATTGGCCAGCCCCGTCACCAGACATAAATATTATTGAGCATGTCTGGGGTAAGATGAAGGGGGCATTGAAGATGAATCCAAAGAATCTTGATGAACTCTGGGAGTCCTGCAAGAACGCTTTCTTCGCCATTCCAGATGACTTTATTAATCAGTGATTTAAGTCATGTCAGAGATGTATGGATGCAGTCCTCCAAGCTCATGATGGAGTCAGACACAATATTCATTCTGTTTCCACTGCAGCATGACTTTATATTCTATACTGGACATTATTTCCGTTAAGTGACAAGACTTTTGTCTAAGCAAAGTCAGACCTTACTGTCCTAATTCAATCATTAAAAATTAAGGCAAGCTCAGATTTTATTTTGATAAAATAAGCATAATCTAGAGGCCTTTGCCTTTCGTATAAGCCACTGATACCAAATGATCCACTAGAAGTCAAGTTACTGTTTTATTTGTTGTTCCTAAAACTTGGATAGGCGACAAGACTTTTGTCAGGTAGTGTATTGTGTGAGTTGGTGTAGTATATTATTCTATAATATACAAAAAAATTGTAATAAACTGCCAGTACATTGTCTGTTATTTTACTGACTTATTTCTCTCTATATTTCTTGAACATTATATTATTTCAAACTTCTAAAATGTCAATAAAAGCCACTATGTTTAACTCTAGAGTTGAATTTTCTACATAAAAAGTCGACAGAGCAGAGATAAAAGTGCCATAATGTAATTCATAACCATAAATATATATATATATATATAGCGAAACAGAAAGTGATGGTAGATGATAGATGATAGATGCAGAAAGTGCCTCGTCTGGCTTTCTAACATGCATGTCATTTGTTTGGATTAACTGTGATTTCCTGTTCCCAAATGACGAGTATTGAAAAAATATGCATTGTTAATGATTACACGGCGAGTGCTGCAAACCATTACGCTCGCATTTTAATGCCTTCAGGGACTACAAACAGACGGTCTCATTCCCCAACGTTGTGCCAATGTAACCATGGTTTTTGTGTCCGTGTTTTTAAAGCCACCCTTGAAACTTTGATAACAGACTTTCTTCATTTCCTCGCCGCTGTGAGGTGTGTGTGTGTGTGTGCTGAAGTGTGAAAAATGTGAAAGACTGCAGGCCGAAACAGCAAGAGAGCAGTCAAAGAGCAGCTTTGTATGTCAATCACCAGTAATGCATACTTCACTCACACAGTTACGGACACAAGAAAAAGAACAAAGAGCAAAGGATAGACCTCCCTAAGCTATGTGTGTATAATTAACTTCTTATTGAAGTTATATATTGTTTCACTCTTCACTGTTTTGCTTTAAAGGAACACTCCATTTTATTTTATTTTTTGGAAACAGGCTTGTTTTACATCTTCCCTGGAGTTAAACAGTTGAGATTTACCATTTTTACTATCCAGCACTTTTAGCTTAGCTTAGCATAGATCATTGAATCAGATTAGACCAGGGGTGGCCAATCCTGTTCCTGGAGAGCCTCCTTCCTGCAGACTTCAGTTGCTACCCATATCAAACATACCTGAACCAATTAATTAGGACACCATGTGGTAATTACAGGCAGGTGTGTTGATTATGTGTTGCAACTGAAATCTGCAGGAAGGTGGCTCTCCAGGAACAGGATTGGCCACCCCTGGGTTAGACCATTAGCATCTGACCAAAGAGATCACTTTTCTATTTAAAGTTTGACTCTTTTGTAGTTACATTGTGTATTAAGACTGTTGGAGAATAAAAAGTTGCTATGTTTTGGTAGATGTAGTCTTAAAATAATAATTGTGTTATATTATTTCTGCTGCTTCAGCTGTGATATTGCAGCAAAGTTTCTTTATTATGTCAGAAGGAAAGTACAGTATAGTTCCCAGCCATATGGGCCTTGAAAATAGCAACTTTTCTGACACTCTTAGTACACAATGTAACTACAGAAGAGTCAAACTTTAAATAGTAAAGTGATCTCTTTGGTTACTTATGAGCGAGATGCTAATGGTCTAATCCGATTCAATGGTCTATGCTAAGCTAAGCTAAAAGTGCTAGATTCAAAGATGATAAAACTTTGAATCTCAGTACTGGGTGTAACTGCAGACGAGTCAAGCTTTAAATAGGAAAATTAACTAAAATGTTTGGTCATTTTATGAGGGAAAGGCAAATGGTCTAATTGTCCCTGCTGAAAAATCCAGCTTAAACCAGCCTAGGGTGGTGGTTTCCAGCCATTTCCAACCTGGTCTTAGCTGGTCAGGATGGAAAGGGACCAGCTAAAACCATCTAAAACCAGCTTGACTATGGTTTAAGCTGGACATAGCTGGTTTTGGCTGGGCTCCCAGCCTGGCTAGGCTGGTCAAGCTGGTTTTAGTTGGTCATCTCCCATCCTGTCCAGCTAAAACCAGGCTGGAAATGGCTGGAAACCAGCCAGAAAGTGGCCAAAACCCCTCTAAAACCAGGCTGGTCGACCAGCTAAAACCAGCCAACCATGCTAGGCTGGTTTGAGCTGGATTTTTCAGCAGGGTTATTCAATGATAAATGCTAAGCTAAGCTAAAAGTGCTAGATGCAAAGATAGTAAAACTCTGAGTCTGAGTACAGGATGTAACTGCAGAAGAGTCAGACTTTAAATGGTAAAATAATCACTTTGGTCATTTTATGAGTGAGATACTAATGGTCTAATCTGATTCAGTGATCTATGCTAAGCTAAGCTCAAAGTGCTAGATTCAAAAATACAGGATGCAACTGCAGAAGAGTCAAACTTTAAATAGAAAAAGGATCTAAATTCTTTGGTAATTTATGAGCAAGATGCTAATTGCCTAATCCGATTCAATGATCTATGCTAAGCTAAGCTAAAAATGCTAAATTGAAATTGAAAAAATGCTAAAATAAAAAATGATAAATCTCTGAGTCTGAGCACACATTGCATTCAAACTTTAAAGTATTTGAATTATTTAGTAAAATAATTTGTTTGATCATTTATGAGTAAGACGCTGATGGTCTAATCTGATTCAATGATCTATGCTAAGCTAAAAGTGCTAAATTCAAAAATGGTAAAACTCTCTGAGTCTGAGTACAGGATGTAACTGCAGAAGAGTCAAGCTTTAAATCGGACAATTATCTAAAATCTTTGGTCATTTTGTGAGCAAGATGCTAATGGTCTACGATTCACTGATCTATGCTAAGCTAAGCTAAAAGTGCTCCTGCCAGGCCCAGCAATTGGCTGATGTGATTCAAAAACAGTAAAAAACACAGTAAGTGCCTATTTTCACATTAAGCAGAGTATTCCTTAAGCATACAGTAATTTGCCTGCCTAATGTTTCAGGAAAAATATAAAGGCTCTCTAATGCAAACATTGCAAAAAACAGAAATGTGCGCACATCTAGAAAAATCTTGAAGGCAGGTGCACGATCAAAAAAACAAACATAAGTCGCAAAAGATTCAAAGTAAATCGGCACACTGCCACTTTAGCTCTCAAAAACATTTAATGTCAATATTACAAAATCACAACGTTTGTGACAACAAGCGTTGTCAATTTGTGTCAGTTTTTTAGTCATCCACATTCAGGTAAGCAATTAAAGATTAAAGGTGTGATTTCATGCAACACAAAAAATGTGATCTATATGATTAAATGTCCTTGTGGTTTAGCCTATATAGGTAAAACAAGACGGTGTTTAAAAACACGAATTGCTGAACACAGAAGTAATATACGATTAAACGATCAACGAAATCCTATCGCCGTTCATTTTAATGCATTGAAACATAACCTTGCGACTTTGCGATATATTGGCATTGAACAAGTGAAGGTGCCGAGAAGGGGTGGCGATGTTGACAGACTTTTATTACAGAGGGAAGCGTTTTACATTTACACACTAAACACTTTATCCCCGAGAGGTTTGAATTTGGATTTTGATTTAAAATCCTTTTTGTAAGTGTATTTGCATTCTATATTGTTGTATACTTTTCCCAGAGATGGGTTGCGGCTGGAAGGGCATCCGCTGCGTAGAGACTTGCTGGATTAGTTGGCGGTTCATTCTGTTGTGGCGACCCCAGATTGGTAAAGGGACTAAGCTGACAAGAAAATGAATGAATGAATTGTTGTATACTAAATATGTACATAATGTTTTTGCTCCTAGGTCTACTGGCCTTGTGTTTGATTGATGTGATTTTGTGCAGGTGTGATGCGCTATATTTATTTAGCCTATGGAATACTGTCTCCGAGGAATTCTATAGTGAGAATTTGTATTTGTATTTTAAATGTCTGTTTGTAATGGTATGCATGTTTTTCACATTGTTTAGAGGTATATTATTGTATGCAAATGTTCCTGTTTACCGGCTTGTTAGCTGATTGTGATAATTGACTGCAGGTGCTGTGTAGAGCTGTTTGACTATTTCTGGAGGACTTCCATTTGCAACGCTTTACCTGATGAAGACCATGTCAGTCGAAACGTTGTGATTTTGTAATACTGACATTACATTTTTTTGAGAGCTAAAGTGGCAGTGTGCCGATTTACTTTGAATCTTTTGTCTCTAATGCAAACACACATGCAAAGAACACAAACAGAGCTGTCCCAGCGTACCCTTTATTAGTACCTCTCTTCTCCTTGGCTGCTTCGCTGTGTAAAAATATATGGGTCATTGACATTAAGTGTCCCAAGAGGCGATGGAGTATTACAGCGTTGGGGCCACACAGGAGAAACAAAAATACACAAGAACTGTGTGATTTTCTGCTGTAGCAAACTTTTTAGTGCTCTTCCTTTCTTTGTATGAACATTGTAATAGGCTGAAACTGTAGATGATTAAGCAATATTGGTAACAATTTCACAGATTTCTTAAACAAAAACAGTTTAGGAGCGTCCAGGGATAAGCACAAAAGTGTATATTTACGCTGCAACAAGGACATGGTAAAAATAAATGTAACTCCAAGAGTTTGTATTTTCCCAGATGCAAGAACATCCACATATAGTACAATGATTACTTGTCATAGTAATGTTTCATTTCTCCTCAGGATGGATGAAAACTACAGCATCATACCTCACGGAGTTAACTTCCAGGACCCCATATTTCCTGACACGCCGGAGAACCATCGCATGTTTGCCAGCTTATTCCAGTTTTCTAACTGCACAGCGGGCACGCAGGTTCACACTTACACCCCAGACTGGGAGCTCCAGGAGGATAATCGGGTGAGCTACTTTTAATGAATTCCAACAATAGTAATAATAGTTAGTTTTAAGGCTGTGAAGCGATTTAATCTTCACTCTAAACCATACTGCGTTCATCGTTAGAAAATAATTGAATAAAGGTCCTTGCATAGGAGTCTGAAATTTGTGTCTGAAATAAAAAAAAATACCTGACTTCACTCTGTGTCGATCATATTTACAAGCTGCCTCCAAAGCTTTCGATTAAAAAAAAAAAAAAATTCTGATTGGGATCAACATTTTGACTAATACACCTTTTCTATGCCATAGTTTGGTGTGGGTGTGGGTGGGTGTGTGTTTTGCATCCCTTGCTCTGTGGGGAACAAATGACCCCATAAGTATAGCAACACCAGTAACTTTTGACCTTGTGTGGACATTAATTGATCCCCATTCGGAAAAAAAGCTCAAAAATCCCCCAGAATGAAGTATTTTGAAAATGTGAAATTGTTTCCTGTGAGGGCTGAGGTTTGGGGGGGATACAATATACAGTTTTTACAGTATAAAATCATTATGTCAATTGGAAATCCCCATAACGATAGCTGTTTAATTGATTAGGGGTTAGGGGTTAGCAGAGGTCGCGTTAGACTTTCTCATTGTCCGTCATTTTGACGGACAGTGTTGTAAAAATTCCGTCATAACCTATTACTGATTGTTATTTAATTAGCATATTTTCTAATTGTTTTTTTTTTTCATTCATATTTTAATAATGAACTTGCACGACGAGCATAAAGGCTAAATTATTCATTTATTTATTTATTTGACAAATTAACAATAACTCCTATCTACCTTAACTCCCATCTTCCGCCTGCGTCGACCTGAACTGGGTGCTTACCTGTGCTTAATCAAACTCATCAAGGGAGACTAATGCAGAGGCAGTTGTCATTAAATTCTGTGACTTTGCCTCGGAAAGTCGATTTCTCATGACCAAAGACCGGAACTAGTCTAGCGCCACTTCAGCCAGCGTTTTGTAGTTAGGAAACATTTCTCCCAAGGCTGTGATCAGAACTAAGTTTGCTGGATTCTCTTAATGTGGGATTTCCCGTTCCTGCAAGCACTTGTTTCACCGGGAAAAAATACTACAGCACGCGCTGCTTCTGCACCCCTCTGCATTCGGTAGTGCTCACAACACACTCAAAGGTACCTGACCTGCCTGCTGCCGCTTGGTTGGCTCGTACCAAACTTTCACCATTATTATTATCACAACTATTTGGCCGTTTAAAGAAACTTCTCACAGCTGCTGTGACATTTTTGCAATACGCAGTGGTGACAAAGAGTAGACAAAACAAGGACAATCGCCATCAGCTGGACAAGAGTGGGAATTACAATTAGCTACAAATTACAATAGATCACCCTCAGCATAATCCATAGATATATACTTTAGATGTTGCCTGGCCTATTGTTGTCTATTGGACGGAATGCATCAATAGCGCCGCCATCTTGCTACAGGGTAGCGCTCCTTTGAAATGAATGCGGGACCAAGGTACAGTGGAGGACTGTGGCCATCCAAAGCCAGAGATATACACATATATCTATGATCGGGAGTTTTCCTGGATGTTATTATGTAATTTTTTTTCTGATTACGAAAATTATAATTTTACATAACTTTTCTACATTGATGGATCAGTGATCGCACAGGGATTCCTGACAAAGCTTGTGTTTGTGTGTACAGAAATGTACTATTCACCCTCCCTGTTAAATTTGATCTAATCATGTCCTGAAACACAGCTCCTCTCCTGCTTTCACTTCTCATTCTGACGGAGTGAGCGACTCGTTTGTGAATGAATCCCCGTTATGAATGACTCGTTCATGGCCGACAAAAAAGTTTCTGGCAGCGGAGCATCTCGTTGTCATATTTCTTTTGCATTGTTTGCTGATTTTATTCAACAAAACTAGCATAAGCCGAGTGTTTAGTGCGAGTTGGAGCTGCTTTGCCGTTTGGTGAATGCAGTAAGTGACTGTATTTTTATCAATAACGTTACCTGATTAGCACAAAAGTTTAGAACATACAAAAACAGAAAAAAAACTTAATATTACCTATGAAATGTTCTGCCTTTGTGCTTTGTTTTCTTTGTTTGCTCGTTACAACACCCGTAGACAGCAATAAAGTCCCGCATCTTCACGTAATAACACTGTCTTGACTAGTGCGGTTGAATGACATTTGTACTCGGAGCACTGTACCAATGTGGCGGCGCTATTGACCCATGCTTAGGGTCCCTATGCGATATATAGTGTATATATCTATGAGCATAATCCATCAAAATGACGGATCACCTTCTGATTTTTCCGTCACTGCTGAAAAAAATCCATCAATGACGGAAAATATTCGGTTAACGCGACCTATGGGGGTTTGTGTGTGTGTCTGTGTGCGTGTGAGAGAGTCATGTAGTTCACAGAAATTAGTAGTCTTTTCTTTAATGTGTCCCAACAGGCACAGGACATCAGATTGACGTTGTACCCCAACGTTGTGGGAAGTTGCATTTTGTTTGTAAATGAAAATCGATTAATGTCAGAACCCAACGTCAGGCCGACATCAATGTCCAGCATCGGACATACGTTGCATTTTGACACGATAAACACACTGATTTGCATTATCACTGGTGTCAGGTAATGCTTGAAATATAAACATCATGTCTGTTGTACTAACATGCATTAATTATGTCAGGTTTCCCCTTTTTTCTTGTGCTTAAATGTTAAAACGGCCCTCCTATCAATTGTCAGTCACTAAAATGTAGTGATGGGTCGTTCATGAACGATTCGTACATTTTGAACGAATCTTCAATATGACTCGGGAACTGCGAGTCCTCTCAGGGAGTGATTCGTTCATTCGCGCGTGCGCACATTTGTGCAGGTGATATCGTTAATTTCAAGTCTTTATCACATTGACAGAAGCCAATCATATGCGTTTAGAGCAAGTGTGCCGCAAGCCTGCGTTTGAGTGAAGGTCTCGGCCGTTAGATCGCCCCCTGGGGGCTGGCTGCAGTACAAGTCATAAAGCCCGCCTCCTCCGTGTTAATGAAGGAGACTTGAGCCCAAATAAAAAAATGTATAACACTTGCAATAAAATGTCCCGAAAGATGGTTCTGGTGGATTAAGGCACTGAGTATTGTGCTGAAATAGGTGCAGATCTTCATTTTTGTAAACAGTTTGTTTTTAGCAGTAATTTAATGCTGGGCGTGTCATCGTAATTGACAGCTGTGATTGACAGTTTCTCAAAGCAGTGCGTCTGAGCTTCGGCAGGAGACTGAAGTGTTATTTTTCGATTTCTGTGTTATTTTACCATGACAAAATGAGTTCAGCAGTAAACTATAGTTTCTGACATACATGATCTGGTGGAACACTGTTTATTCCCTAAGGTCAGGGCTTTTTTCGGGAGTTATTAGTTTGCTGATACACGCCTAACCACCCAGATAGCAAAATACACTCGGGCCAGTTCCGGCTAGATTCTCGCCTGCCGGAGACTTACCCCTCAGAGCTCAGACTGACTACCTCTGCTGGACCTACTCCGGATGCCTGAACTCACTGCCCGTCCGATTCCAGCCCGAGTCAATCGAGCCAGACGCGGCGGCCGAGCGAGCCGGCGCTGCCGCATGGATATGTGCGCTGCGGCCCGGAGCTGGCGCGATTAAATATATAAAACCCTCATATTTGTTAACGTTATTACATCCATTTGTGTTGATATGACAGCAAACGCATGCTGAGAAGTTCGGGGGGCGTGGTTGATTTTACATAAAGCGTTTGATTGGAAGCTCGACTCTGCTCATTTTCGCGGCTCCTCCTCTGGCTCCATCAGACAGTCCTTCTGCGCATGTCAAGGCTCCAATTTCAGCAGTCTTTTGCGACAGTTTGTGCCCGTCAAGCAGGCGTTTTGTCCTCAAGGCGTTCAATGGGAAAAGGGGCTGTCGCGTCGTCCATATTTTTTACAGTCATTGGTTTAGAGCCGGAAAAAAAATTGATCCACTCACCTCTCAAGTCCTCTATCGGGTCTGAGTCACTCGTTCACCACGAGCCAATCATATGCAGTTAGAGCCGGAAAAAGAATTGATTCGTTCATCTCTTGAGTCCTCTATCGGGTCTGAGTCACTCGTTCCTCACTGGCCAATCATACGCGTTTAGAGCCGGATAAAGAATTGATCCATTTATCTCTTGAGTCCTCGGGTTTGAGTCATTCTGTCATGTGATGAACTAACGATCATGTCTCCTATCGGCTTAGACTGTGCATTGATTAAGATTATATGTGACTGTCAGTGTAACGTGAATTAACCCCTGATATTTGAAGACATGAAGAGTTGAGCTGAGCAAAGAGACAAAATGCCTTCATAGACAAATGAGCAGGTAAACATTGAATTAGTATTTTCTCCTTGTTATATTCTACTTATGACTTATTTGTCGTGCGATCAACCTTTTGGGCTAGTTGTAGATGTGTTTGGAAGCAATTCGTAACATTTTAATAATATTTTGGCAAATTGAACCAAGTGAACAAAATGACTCGAAAAAAGATTCGTTCATCTTGATGAACGAGACTCAAAGATCTGAGTCAGTAAAATGATCCGAACTTCCCATCACTACTAAAATGGCCCCTCGCCATTTTGAGTTTGAGACCCTTGCTTTACACCAGGGGTGTCAAACTCAATTCCTGGAGGGCCGAAGCCCTGCACAGTTTAGTTCCAACCCTGCTCCAACACACTTACCTGTAGGTTTCAAACAAGCCTGAAGGACTCAATTAGTTTGATCAGGTGTGTTTAATTAGGGTTGGAACTAAACTGTGCAGAGCTGCGGCCCTTTTGGAACTGAGTTTGACACCTGTGCTTTACACCATTGCTCATAATAGCCAGTCTCCATTTTTACTTGTTTTTGAAGCGTTTTTGTAAGTGTTCGCTTTTTATTGTTGAATTAAATAATGTAGTGTTCATTAGAGAGACTCGTTTCCAATCCATCCCCACAATTGCCTGTTGTGTGTTTGTGTGTATGCATGCTGATGGAAACTA